CTGCCACGCAAAACGACGGCAGATGTCAGTTTGTGCCACGCCTGCCACGTGAAACGACGGTGGATGTCAAGTTGTGCCAACGTGTATGGTGACAAAGTGTGTGGTGACAAAGTGTGTGTTGACGAAGTATTCGTTGATAAAGTGTGTGTGGACAACCTGTGTGGTGACAAAGTATGTGGTGACAAAGTGTGTGTTGACGAAGTATTCGTTGATAAAGTGTGTGTGGACAACCTGTGTGGTGACAAAGTATGTGGTGACAAAGTGTTTGTTGAGAAAATGTCACGCCTGCCACGCAAAGTGCCGCGGCGTCACAGGCGCCCAAGCCCGGCCCAAGGGCGTCACCCAGTACCATCTGTGCCATGCCTGCCACGCAAAACGACGGTAGATGTGACTTTGTGCCACGCCTGCCACGTGAAACGACGGTGGATGTCAGGTTGTGCCACGCCTGCCACGCAAAGTGGCGCGGCGTCACAGGCGCCCAATCCCGGCCCAAGGGCGCCACCCAGTGCCATCTGTCCCACGCCTGCCACGCAAAACGACGGTAGATGTGAGTTTGTGCCACGCCTGCCACGTGAAACGACGGTGGATGTCAGGTTGTGCCACGCCTGCCACGCAAAGTGCCGCGGCGTCACAGGCGCCCAATCCCGGCCCAAGGGCGCCACCCAGTACCATCTGTGCCATGCCTGCCACGCAAAACGACGGTATGTGACTTTGTGCCACGCCTGCCACGTGAAACGACGGTGGATGTCAGGTTGTGCCACGCCTGCCACGCAAAGTGGCGCGGCGTCACAGGCGCCCAAGCCCGGCCCAAGGGCGCCACCCAGTAGCATCTGTCCCACGCCTGCCACGCAAAACGACGGCAGATGTCAGTTTGTGCCACGCCTGCCACGTGAAACGACGGTGGATGTCAAGTTGTGCCACGCCTGCCACGCAAAGTGGCGCGGCGTCACAGGCGCCCAATCCCGGCCCAAGGGCGCCACCCAGTACCATCTGTGCCATGCCTGCCACGCAAAACGACGGTAGATGTGACTTTGTGCCACGCCTGCCACGTGAAACGACGGTGGATGTCAGGTTGTGCCACGCCTGCCACGCAAAGTGGCGCGGCGTCACAGGCGCCCAAGCCCGGCCCAAGGGCGCCACCCAGTAGCATCTGTCCCACGCCTGCCACGCAAAACGACGGCAGATGTCAGTTTGTGCCACGCCTGCCACGTGAAACGACGGTGGATGTCAAGTGGTGACAAAGTGTGTGGTGACAAAGTGTTTGTCGAGAAAATGTATGTTGACAAAGTGTATGTTGATAAAGTGTGTGTGGACAAAGTGTGTGGTGACAAAGTGTGTGTGGACAAAGTGTGTGGTGACAAAGTGTATGTTGATAAAGTGTGTGTGGACAAAGTGTGTGGTGACAAAGTGTGTGTGGACAAAGTGTGTGGTGACAAAGTGTATGTTGATAAAGCGTGTGTGGACAAAGTGTTTGTGGACAAAGTGTTTGTGGACAATGTGTGTGGTGACAAAGTGTGTGTGGACAAAGTGTGTGTGGACAAAGTGTTGTGGACAAAGTGTGTGGTGACAAAGTGTGACAAAGTGTATGTTGATAAAGTGTGGAGGAGGGCGGAGGAGGAGGCGGAGGAGAAGGCGGAGCCCGGGATACAGAATCAAAAACAAGAACCCCACACAAAGATGTGGGGAAAAAAGTAAAAATTCAATCTCAGATGCAACTCGAGTCAGACAAGAAACAAGTCCCTCATCGACTGTTCGTATACCTGCATAAGACCAGACATCGCCACCAGGGTCTTGAGGAGACGGACCCAGGGCGAATCCCCACTGCTTTCGGCGGCGCTGAAGCTCTGCATGGTGGCTGGAAGAATCGAATCAGCCATTGGACGGGATCCACTGGTTTCGGCGGAGCTCTGCATGGTGGCTGCAAGCTTCCAGGAATCAGCCATTGGACGGGATCCACTGTTCTGCATGGCTGGAAGATTCGAATCAGCCCTTGGACGGGAAGGATCGGGAGATGGGCTTGGACCGGCTTAAAATTCTCCGATCGTGATTATAAAGTGCAGTTGCAAAGATGCATGCAGCACATGCAGGACCATGTGCATATCGATCTCGCGATCAAATATAGTTCAACAAATATTTGCTCTCAAATTTGGTGTTTCAACAATTCAATGGCGAAATGAAAAAATATGACCTGCCATATGGAAAACTCATGCGGCGAACATCGAAACTCCAGTCACTAAAGAGCTTTAAATATCACCAACAGAGCAAATTGGATGATGTAGCGGCCTTTTTTTCCCAAAACGTGTGTCCAAGCGAGTGAACATCGTTGACATTGTCTTGTCAACTTCCCCCAATTTCACCGCATGTGCGGCACATATATATGTACCAATATGGCACTACAAGTTCAACTTGATCATCTCTTCAACGCTCTTGCTGTCACACAAGCAATCTTTGCTGATAATCTTGAGTGCTGAAATTGTACTCCTCAATTTTTTTAAGTGGTTCCAAAGCCCCTGCGTTATACAAGATTTACCATCTCCCAAGGGAAAAACAAGAAAAATATACCATTAAGGGGAAAAACAAAAACCCAAAATTTACAGTAAAATGACACCGAAGTTCAGGTCGTCATCCAACCATCCTGTGATCCATGGCATCCAGCATGAGAGGCATATTCTCTCACAGCCAACAATCTGAAGCGTCTTGTAGCGATGCATAGACTCATCTGCCGTGGTACCAATTTGGTTTCCAATCACAGGCGATCCATCATCGGAGTAATCTGAGTAATCTGTCATCTCGCCAATGTAAAAGCCTGCAGGGTCCACGTCGGGCTCTTCGACCGAAATGATGCTTGCAACACCCCAAGCACGGAAGGTGATTATGATGATTGCACGGTGATCGAAGTCCGATGGGAAGTATCGGAAGTCGAACCACCCAGACCGCAGCATAGCAACCGCCTTCTCCACAGTTTTGTTTGTGTCATCTCGAGCATTCAACTCCTGCCACGCTTGCAGCGGATCATGGGATAGACCCATGGCCACCAGGTAATCGGCCAGATCAAAATCTGAGCGAGTCGAATCAGGAACTGTCAGGAGGCTTGTTGGATCTTTCAAATCAAAAGAGCTGCTTCGAAGAACAACAGCTGTTGCCGACTCATTGAAGCCGGGGTAGTAGAAGTCAGAGCGTGTGAGGGCAAGCAGTGGTGACATCACCATACCCAAAGTTCTTCTGCAGCACTCAGAATATTGGGCATTGAGTGAAAGTCGGGACAACGGTGGCATCCGGACACCCAGCTTCTGCGACATTGTTGTCAAAGAGTCCTTGAAATGCTGCACTGCTACTGGAGACACACATCCACGGCTGCATCCACACAGCACAGGAGCCACAGCAGTGCCAAGCAAGATGAGAAGTCTCATCACAACCTCCAGCGGCAGCAAGGAGAGCGAAGAAGCCATATAGCAATGTGCAAAGGCGCAATGGGGGGAATGATGCTTGGGCCCGACTGGATCAAGGCTGGTCATGTGCAACATCTGCGGCACCTTAATTAAATGTCAGCTGGCTGTTGTTCTCCAAGGCTGCCAGCCATGATACACGAAAATGTCCTTAAGAGGAAAACATATACCAGCTAGCACATAGCAAGCAAGCACTCAGTGACTCAGCATTTTCTCACCCCCTTTGCGAATGATCCGCCCGCAAAGTCATCAGGTGCACATTAATCCCTAAGAGGCACCTTTCCAAGATCCGTTTCCCCAATGTGACAGGATGCAGGCTTCCTTTTAGGATCCCACAAACCTTGCCTACCATGTCTTCGTCCCCGGCACACCCGACGTGCCGGGGGTTGATACGGCTTCCAGCTCTCGTCCTGTTGATGATCTCGCAGAAGAAGGAATGGTACTTTGGTCTCATCTTCCATCTCGGGCGCTTCGCCACGAGCGCTTCGTATGCTAGCTTCAAGTAAAGAAGGATGAAGATGTCGGCAAATTGGACAGAGGCCCCTGCGGCTTCATCAGAGAGCCACATGCTGGACTGGTCCAGCACCACTCCATACTTCGTTATCGACCAAGCGAGAATACCTGGAGCATGGAGCTTCTCGCTGGTGGTCTCCTTGAAGATAAACTCAGACAGCCAGGCCAGCCTCAGATTGACAATACGTCAGCAAACATTCTGCTATATATATATATATACATGCACAAGTTTGCATATATACATATAGATACATAAATATATATATATATACAGTATATATATATATTGCACACGCTGGAAAGACTTGCAAGAAATTGAGAATAATGGTTTGCTAAAATCAAATGGCAAAAGTCATATGTTCGAATCACGGCATGGGTCCTCGAATGAGCTCACTTACACTTGAACAAACAGCAGGGCTGTGCTTACTGGCAAGTGACACCACTCTGTTTGCATATGCCTTAGAAGGTCCCAGTGGGTAGTCAAAGGCAAGGGCGTCAACACCCAGCTTCTGGAGGCCTTGGATGTTTCCAAGCCCCTTTCCAAAAGATTTGCGTGACAGGTTGCTATTGAAAAGTTGCAAACCAATGTGAAAATACACAAGACATTGTGTAAAATGTTATATAAATATACAATCCGAGGAACTCCATTCCTCGACTGTTGATGGCCTGATGTGGTTTGCAGCACACCATTGTTGGCATTGTTGGTGAAGAGATCTAAGTCTGCCATCGTAGCTGGATTCATCACCGTGGTGTTCGGCCACCTCCATCAGCAATGACCCTGTCACATCACGAGCAACTCCTATCCACAAAACATGGAGAATATCAGCCCATTCCATATGCGCGGACCAGCCATCCAAGTCCATCAGCCTCAGCTTGCATCAACATTGATCAGACCAAAAAAGGTATGAACAAGGCAAAACAGGCAAACACGGTGTGGCTGAAACAGCAATTGCTTGGACGTACGTCGGTTCACGTACGCATGTTGTCTTTATGAATGCATGCTAGGTTAACTCAGTGGTATTTTGTTAAGATCAACCTGAGTCAGCCTAGACACGGTATTGGGTCAAAGGATGACTCAACGGGATCTTCACCGGGCTGATGCCATCCAGGCTGATGAAAGACATCCATGTAGGATGCACCTGTGCAAAAACATCGTCGGCACATGCCGGCCGAATGAGAGCCCTGAGTGCTCCAGTACCTCTTCTCGCACAACCAATCCTTCTTGTGTTTCCAATCTCCTTTCCCGCAAACATACCAGAGAGAGTATCCGTCAACTGTGGACCGACTGCAATCGTTCATCATCCTGAGAAAGAACCCAAAATTAGAAGAACTATAGGGAACAAAAGTAAACCAGACCAAATGCATCAGAACAGATCAAAAATGTCCGGTCCACGTCCTGACAAAAGCTTTCTGGAGCTCCAACATTGTGAGATTCTTCTTCTCCTGGGTCACGAAAAGATCAGATTTGATGACCTGAGGCGACCATGTCAAAAACCCCTGCATGCATGGTCAACACTTGTTTGCAATCCTCACAGGGAAATATATATATATAATTAGGAACCATCATGTGGAAAATTCAAGCAAAACATTTGGATTAAAGGGGCAATGTCACGCCACGAGACACAGAAGGGAAACTTGGTCTTCAGTGATGGTCCGTGGATCCCTATCGAGGACCAAGACAAGATTAGCACATTTTTGCTGCGCTTCGACTCGCCCTCGTCACCATGCAATGTGACGGCCACTGCCTTGCATCGCTGCTCTTCATCCAAACTCAACACTGGGTGGTGCGCTGCCCAATCTTCCTTAGAAGCATGCTCCCAGAAATCGAGCCAGGACCATCCTGGAGATCCAAGAAGCTCCATGGCGTTGTTCTTGATGATACTTTCGAAAAGAAGTGCCGGGGATAGCACTGGCCACTGGCAGTAGGAAATGCGCACAGGTTCCTTCTCCTTTTTGACAGGCTTGCGGCCCCGGGTTCTCTTCCCACCTCTCCCCCACAGTGTTGTTCTCTTTCGTCGAAGGAACTTCTTCGGGTTGGAGCGCTTGTCAATAATAGGAATGGTGATGTAGGTCAACGGTGGCTTCAGCAGTACCTAGATGTGTCATCGCCAGTTTGGAAAAGAGAACAAATATCATAGTGAAAGTGTATAGACAAACGTGTTGGAATTAAAAGACAAAAAGGATGAACTGGACCAAAGTCAAAGTTGCATCATCAGCCTTGGACACTGCATTGTGCACCTGGCTCTCTGCATGCTGCTCCCCCTTCAATGATGCTGCCCATCGGGTACCTCAGTATATGCACTAAGCTTCTACCATATGATGTATACTGGACTTGTAGTTCATGATTTGTTTCTAGTTAAGTCAAGGAACTCTCACTGCAATGCTCTGCGCCGGACTCACACACAGCTGCCTTGGCAACCTCTGTTACCAACTTGGCACTGGAGCCCGAAGCCACTTTGGAAAGCGATAACAATGTCAAAGGAGAACCCATCGTAGCGGGCAACCGCCTCCTCTTGGTTCGGGTTGAAGCACCACTAGAGCTGCTGAGCCGGCTAATTGCACGTTTCAACATTTGATGGCACCAGCAATCAGTTGAAGGGCCACTAGCTCCATTGGCGCACTGCTCATCCGATCAGCGAATGGCACATGCAAAAGTACTGCACAATCTCTGCAGCATATACATGCTGTTGAATTGGTGCCCTATAGTATATATATATATATTATATATATATTATATATTATATATATATGCAGTGCCTTGACATGTACACTCCCTGGCTACAACTTTTGTTTTGTAATGCATCTTGGATACACGAGAGGAATGAAAACCTGAGCCGTTCTGTGGTGAGAGCGAACACCGAAACAAGCACACAAATTCAGGGATTGAGCAAAGGGAATCTTATAATGTGTTCTGCATGTGGGAGTTGTGATCACAATGGCTGATCATGCACTCGTAGACAAAGACTCACACTCAGCCAATCGTCCATTTTTTTTGCGCCAGGAAAGTGGTAGACAAAGCTAGTGCAGCCGGGCGCACCTAAATGGATCCACCCCTTTTCCATCAGACAAGAATTGGCATAAGGAGGTAAGCATGGCCAGTGCACAGCCATGGACACTGTTTAAAATAGGATTCATATACATATATACAAATTATACACATATATAATATGTATATAAATATATATATATATATTAACCACATGGGTGTGGAACCCGGGTATTGTGGCTGCCACAATTGTAAGTGAGAAAAGTCATATGAAGCACTGTGACCTCATATACAAAGGGCCATATGCCCTTTACGCCCCATGGTTGGCGTTGGTGTCAAGTGGCTCTAGGTCAGCCATGACGTGCAACCAGAAAACCCTTAGCACTTGAGCTTTCGCCACAGGTGGCCACATGTTTGGGTTGACCACATGGCTGGCGCAAGCTTCTATACCCATGGGCCATACATCCCATCACTCATGGCCCTTCTTCTTAGCAGCCCTCTTTGGATTTGCCTCTCTCTTGTTCTGGGCGATCCTCAGGCTGCAGGAATCATTGCATGGAGGTTCCTGTTTGATGGTACGATCACAAGCTGCATTTTGGAGTGAGCAATTTATGCATTAATATTGCATGAGATCTGTGCAAGCCAGGCGCAGGCCCTGTGCCACTTTCAAATGCTTCTTGTAACCCTCCACGAACACGGTTGCCTGGGTTGCAGAAGCTATAGTATGGGGTACACAATTAAAACCATATGAAGGTCGACATTCTGGCAAGTTGCTGTCTGCAGTTCAGCTTGCACAGCTTCCAGCTGCGGATTCTGTCCCATGGCAACAAGCCGCTTGCGGGATTGGCTGATTCCGTTGGAACATGCTTGCAGCAGTTCTTGCAATCTCTCTTGTGATTCGAGTTCCTCCAGCTGCGCCACGATTTTCACTGCCGTGCCTTGAGCATCGGAAGCAGCCGTTACCCAATGCCCAACAAAGGAATCCAGCTGGGCATCGTCCGCCACGAGCAGTTCGAGCTGGCTGCCCTGATCAATGATGCATCACACATGAGGGAAACAATTCATAGACAGCAAAGGCATGATAGCATATTGCAGCACTGACTGCCACCAGGGTGCTAGTGGTTTAGCCTTTACCGTTTTCTCCTTCTTCTGTGTCTTCTTTTTTTCGGGCTCGTTTTTCCCTGGAAGTTGCTCATGTGGAGCAGGTGCACCTGGGAGTTTCGGAGTCTCACTGGAGTTTCCAGAGGTTCCTGCGTCAGGCCGTGGACAAGGAACATCACTCATAGCCTGCAGGGGGTTCTGTGCAGCGGCACTCATGCGTTGCATAAGGAGCGTTGCAGTGTGAGGATCAGCTCCAAGCTCGATGCATACTTCTTCCTTGGCTGTATCAAAAGCTGAAAGTATGCATATTATAGGGAAAATCACAGGTATATGTATACAACATACATGCATATATGGAGTCTGAGATTCAATACTGGTTTGCGTGAAGGAACGCTCCTGTGCTTGAAACAGGAGGAATGTCTCCTCACCATCGTTTTTGTCTGTCGATGTTCCCTTCACCTGCCCTCGGCGAGTAGTCACCAATCTCGTAGCCTTCGTCACATCTCCATCGAAGTGCTTCAACACATCCGTCCATTTCACATATTTGCCTGGTGATGCAAAACAACCACAATAATATCCAGAATCTACATTTCGATCAAACTCTTGTCATGGGTGTATGCACATGTGCTTTGCCAGTGAATGTCAGAGAGAAAACTGTCAAGAACCTGGCCTTGGTCGTGCGACCGTTCTTCTGACAGTCGCTTCATACGGAGAGCCGCCTCCAATGCATGCCCATCGCCTGGACAGCAAACGTACAGGCACTAGTTCAAACTCATGATATCCTACAATTTGGTAGAGTCCACTCCTGCCTTCAGCCATCAGGAACTTCTGGAACATAAGCAATCGAGCGTCACTAGATTGCCTTGTTCAACCCGTGTATAGACACTGGAATTAAGAAAGAATAAATTTGCGCAACAACAAAATCAGCACATAACAAAACCGTTGCTACATGAATTATATAGAGAGAGCACACAAACACATCAGAGAGCTGAGAAACAGACTCAATGGCAGCGACCACCTGCATGGAGCTCCCCTCGTTTCTTTCACAGAATCGCCTGAATTGCCCATATTCTTTTGGATGTGTGGAGCTGTTGGCCATCAACTTCTTTTGGAATGGAACTATGGCCAAAGTACCTGCAGGCTCTGTGCTATCTGGTTGCGCTGGTGTTCCGGGTGCTGCAACAGCAGTTTCCGGCTTTGACATCACAGCAGCTGGTGTTGGGGGTGAAGGCATGTTTGCTTCAGGTGGGCAATGCGATTGGGGTGCTGTCACTGCAACAGCAGTTTCCGGCTTTGGCATCACAGCAGCTGGTGTTGGGGGTGAAGGCATGTTTGCTTCAGGTGGGCAATGCGATTGGGGTGCTGTCACTGCAACAGCAGTTTCCGGCTTTGGCATCACAGCAGCTGGTGTTGGGGGTGAAGGCATGTTTGCTTCAGGTGGGCAATGCGATTGGGGTGCTGTCACTGGTGGATGAACAGCTTGCTGCGACTGGATCCTGCCAATGATCTCCTGAAGTGATGCTGTCAGACTGGCAATGCTTTGCATGTTGGTTGACCCTTCGGAAGCACCAGGCGCAATGGCCATCGCTAGTGATGCAAGGGCTTGAATTGCTTCTGGTGGTGCACCCAAGTGCGCAGCTACTGCAGGGAACAGTGTGCCGTGTCCTTGCATTCCATGTTGCCCAGCCGCTGACACCACATGCTTTTTTTCTTCTACAGGTGCTGCTTGCATGTTTGTGCTTTGCTCATGGTTGGCCATCACATGGCTGGCTTCGGGTTGTGTAAACCCAACCATTTACGGCGGATCAAAGGCAACCCTTCTCTTGAGAATGGATTTTGGCAGCGGTGTGTCAGCACCTTGATTAACTTCTGACGCAGGCAGACCTTGCCCTGCTGGCACTGCTGCTTGCACTGCATATGGACCACCACCTTGCATGGGGAGTGGCACTGCTGGTACTGCTGCTGCGACTTGCACTGCATTTGGACCACCTGCAGGGTGTGGTACTGCTGGTGCCATCTGTCCAGGAGCTGCAGGTGCTACAGCTGGAGGTGGCCCTGGCGTAGGCATACCTAGCAATGCTTCTGCTGCTGCTGCCGCTTGCACCGCATCTGGACCACCCGCTGGGCATGGTGCTGTCGGCGCCACCTGTGCAGGAGTTGCAGGTGCAGGTGCTGGTGTATGCATACCGTTCCCTGCTTGTGGGTGTGGTACTGCTGGTGCCATCTGTGCAGGAGCTGCAAATGCTTCAGCTGGAGGTAGACCTGGCTTGGGCATACCTTGCAATGCTTCTGCTGCTGCTGCCGCTTGCACTGCATCTGGACCACCAGCTGGGCATGGTGCTGTCGGCGCCACCTGTGCAGGAGTTGCAGGTGCAGGTGCTGGTGAATGCATACCCTTCCCTGCTTGTGGGTGTGGTACTGCTGGTGCCATCTGTGCAGGAGCTGCAAATGCTTCAGCTGGAGGTAGCCCTGGCTTAGGCATACCTTGCAATGCTTCTGCTGCTGCTGCCGCTTGCACTGCATCTGGACCACATGGTGCTGTCGGCGCCACCTGTGCAGGAGTTGCAGGTGCAGGTGCTGGTAGTATGCATACCTGTGCAATCTGCCACATTGCTGTCGGCGCCACCTGTGCAGGAGTTGCACTGCTGGTGTATGCATACCGTGCAATGCTTGTGGGTGTGGTACTGCATCTGTTGAGCAGGTGGTGCAGCTGGAGGTAGCCCTGGCGTAGGCATACCTTGCAATGCTTCTGCTGCTGCTGCTGCTTGCACTGCA